TATCTATCTATCTATCTATCTATCTATCTATCTATCTATCTATCTATTTCAATTTTTCAAATCAACAACCCTGTTTGTCTTCCAGTGATAAAAGAGGAAAACATCAGCGTGAGCATCAAAGAGGAAAACATGAACGATGGATCTGGAAAAGAGAGACAAAGTGAGACGGACGACGAGAGAGAAAGAGCGACAAAAGAGAGCAGCGAAAAGAAGAGAGCTGTCGAGGTGAGGGGACGGGGAGACTGCTGACTTCCCTCTGGGCTGAGACTGAGGTATCGTGCTTTACATCCTAAGAAGCTGCTTCTCATCTCTCTTTGTGCCTCGCTTCTCCTCAGGCTGGTCCTCATTCCCCACCTCCACCCACCTCAGGTTTGGACCCACTTCCTCCTCCACCAGCAGAAAGAGAGGCCCCCTCTTCCTCCAAGAAGAATAAGTTTCGACCCCCTCCACTCAAAAAGACACCTGACCCCCATGATAAGTGAGTGGATCTCTGTCTCTCAGACTGTGTTTTCTTTGGCCTTTTTCCTCAATCAGCTACAGAAATGGAACAAATGATGTGTCTCTGTGACAGGCTGCTGCTAACAAAGAGCCTAAAGGTCAATTTTAAACTGCTGCTCTGCTCATTGGACACAATGCTGGCTCAGTCCTTGACTTAGGGGCCTCTTTTTCAGCCTTTTTCAGACTCAGAAAACTCTCAGCTACAAGGACTAAAAACAAGAGAAAACCAGAGAAACACTCAGAGAAACTCTCAGTGCTGTTCAGGAATACTTAAAATATCAAAGAAAATCCTTAAAGTTAAAGTTGATTATGAGTTTTTCTCAGTGTTTTATAATCTTTAATTAGGATAGATTTGATTCTGGTCTTTGTCAGTTTAGAGGAAATCTTTAGCAGCTCTCGGGCTCAGAGGATAGCTTCTGGTTTTACTGGCAGAGGGCAGAGGACTCTCCCCTCCGCCCTCTTTATTTAGACTGCTGCAAAGTGGGAGGAGCTCAGCTTGGAGGGAGGAGGCCATCCCCGCTCATGCCCCCTCTGTCTCTGTGTGTGCAGGGTCTTGTCTGGGATGTGCTTTGAGGAGCGTTTCGCAGAGCTTCCAGAGTTTAACCCGGAGGAGGTGCTGCCCTCGCCCACGCTGCAGAGCCTGGCCACCTCCCCCAGAGTCATCCTGGGCAGCTACCGCAAGAAGAGACGCAACTCCACAGGTGAGGCTGTCACCTCCCACTGCCCCCCCCCTCCCCCCGCCTCCACACCCTCTTTAACTTCCTCCTCTTTGGGTATTCTGCCCCTCCAGACCTGGACGCGGCGGCAGAGGATCCCATCTCCCCTCGGAGGAAGACCCGGCGCCTGTCCAGCTGCAGCTCCGAGCCAAACACCCCCAAGAGCGCTGCCAAGTGCGAGGGGGAGGTCTTCACCTTTGAGCGGACGGGTAAGCCAGGCGGAGGGGCGCCACCGGCCGCCGCCGAGGCACACCGGGCCGTTCTCATAGAGCTTCCTGTCCCCCCAGGCTCCGAGGGCGAGGTCCCCCCCGGGGACCCGGACAGGGTTCCCTACTCGTCTTTGCGCAGAACACTGGACCAGCGCCGGGCCCTGGTCATGCAGCTGTTCCATGAGCACGGCTTCTTCCCCACAGGTAGACCAACACATCCTCATCTTTTCACCTTAGAATCAACTGTGGCTCCTCCTGCTTCCTCTGGTAAAAACCAGAGAAAGCGGCCCTGATCTGAGCTCTGTGGAGGCTTTAAGGGGGCTTAATGGAGCTCCAACAATCCTCCAGAAGCTCCTGTTTCAGCTCCCGTTAAAGCAGCTCAGCCTCTGTGTTTCTCATTTAGCAGCAATAATGCAAACAGCTACATCAGGAAAAAGGAAACGGCTTCAACCAGCAAATGAAACGACCCGAATCAACTTTTCTGAACAAAAGTAAAAGCTGAACGCTTATTTCTGTCCATCACTGAGGTGCCCCAAGTTAGAGGAAAAGCCCCAGACAGGCTGAGAACCCACCTCAAAGTCCACCTTGAGCTCCTCATGGTCCAGCTGTTGTACATCAGAGTCCAGAGCTCAGCCTGATGGATGCTGTGGTCCATCAGAGCTCCAGAGAGCTGTGCACAAACCTGAGTGAGCTAAAGGGACAAAACTCCTGCGAGCCACCAGAGAGGCTGAAGCTCCATCAGATACCAATAGTCTGAGGGAGGAGGTTGTCTGCTTTAAACTCGCTGCTTCTGGTTTTGCTCTTTTCAAAAAGCTCACCCATATAACCAGCAGCACACTTCAGGATACCATTTTCTTTTGTGACACTGGTTAACCTCCACCTGTGTTGTCCCCCCCCAGCTCAGGCCACAGCTGCCTTCCAGGCTCGCTACTCGGACACGTTCCCCACCAAGCTGTGCCTGCAGCTGAAGATCCGCGAGGTCCGTCAGAAGATCATGCAGACGGCCACGCCAGGAACCCTGGAAGCTGGGGGCCCCGCCGAGGCCGGCCCCGCCCCCCCCCACAGCTCCTCCTTCAATCAATCAGCACGGGAGGACGACGGGGGGGTGGAGCCGCCCGCAGACAAAGGCCAGAGCCCAGAGGAGCCCAAAAGTGAGGGGTCGTAGTCACTGACAGTCCAGCAGGGAGCCAGTCAGCAGGGGGAGGGGGGGGGGGGGGGGGGGGGGTCCGATCGCACCAAACACCACCAGGCCTGGGCAGGGACGCCGGATCTGCTCTCAGACACTCAAACGACTCGAGTCGCGCCCCGATTGTCTTATCAGAACTTTTTGAAAAAGCCTCAAAATGGTGGCGCGGCCAGCGAGCCACGATGAGTCAAGTGCTTCTTGTAGTGCCCCTTTTTGCCCTTTTCTTTACAGTTGAATGTCGGCTCGCCCAGGTCTGCCCTCGGCACATTTGTACAGTAGTTTGTAGTCGGACACGCAAACGCTGTGGTGCACACGCTTATCTCTCTTTCACACACACGCATCCACACACTCAACCCAACCTTGGTGCATATGTAATCTCCAGCACACACACACACACACACACACATGCGTAACAAACCAGACTGTTACTCTTGGTCGGCCTCCTCTGGGAGCCGCTGCCGAGGAACCGTGACACACACAAAGGCACTTTGTCACTTACTGTGCAGATGCAGTTTGCCGTTGCCAGACGCCGTTGACTGGACCTCCTTCTGGCCCTTCCACTCCTCAGCACAGTGGTCGGGACGCAAACACAACCCCAACGACCTCCACTGATATTCCACAGCCCCTGGATGCTGCAGGACACACACACACACATACACACACACACACTTACAGCACATGCACACAGGGACACAGACGTGCAAATGCGAGCACCCACACACAGAAATCCTCACCCCTGGTCTGACAAAGCCATCGGCCTGCACAGTTCCTACTGATTGTAGTGAGGAGTGAAACCCAAGAGGAAGACGGCAGGATGCAATGTGACCAATCTTTGCACCTTCAGCTGTTGCCATTAAGACAGACTGAGCCCCGACTGGCAGGAGCTGACCCTACATGTCTGTATGTATGTCAGGGGGTCGCGCTCCCCCTAAAGAGATTATGTAAAGAGACGTCTGATTGTGAGGCTCTGAAGGCTGCCGGCGGGAATCGGAGGACAGAACTGGACGCCGTTCACCAGCAGGGACGCCTGCTGCGGCAGCGGAGAGAGAGAGGAAAAGTGGGATTTTAACCAAACTTCTCTGAGTGGATGTGATGTTGCTTTTCTCTCGTTGTCGTTGCCGTGGAAATAACCAGCTTTACCGTGGCCTGTTTTTCTCTCTCGTGGCTCTATTGTGTTTCTTCTCCAGCATAAAAGAAAAAAGATCACGACAACTTAAAAAACACAAAAAAAGAGACTCTGGACAAAGAAGGGGATGAAATCAGCGGGTCTCACACTTTTAATCGTACCTGGGTACCCTCCCCCCCCCTCCTCTGGGAGCGGGGGGGCGTTTGTCGTTTTGTAAAAACGTTGAAATCAGGTGTTTGCACAATTTGTGCGGCCCTTCTTGTCGGGGACCGCCGCAAGTTAAATCAGGAAAGTATTGTTTTTAGAGCTAGTTTTAGTAGTCGAATAATAACCTTGTCGTCTGTTATCTGCCACCTTTCTCTATTATTCCGCTTGCCCTCCCGGCCTTTTTATGCCCTCTCTCCCCCTCGACTCTCCAAAAACCTCCAAAAACCCTCAAGTGTTGTTAGAAAGTGCCCTTAAGCACTGGTCCCGGGTCAAGCGTTATGTAGCTCAGGATGGTTCTGGTTAGGGTTAGTTCAGGGAAAGCAGATCCTAGACCAGCCCTGGAGGGCAGTCTCTGGAGCCCTCCCTCCCTCCCCCCTCTCTTCTCGACACTTTATCCTTTCCCATCAAATGGTGCAATAGGACATTTATTCTTCGGAAGTGGGTGGGTGGGTGGGTTTGTTTTGTGGGGCAAGGCTCTGTGCCATAGATATTCAATTCAGTGCAGTCAGTCAGTGAGAGGAACGAGCTGTTGTGATACTATCTGTAACTATGGTTTAAAAAGAAAAAAACGAATCACACAGTTGTCGTCATTGTTGAAGAGATAGAGAGTATAACTTACTAAAAGTCAAAGACGATTTTTAAATAGCACTTTTTGGCTTTTTTGCTCCTCTTGTGAAGAGTGGGGGTAGATATATGGCTATCTCTTTATTTTCTCTGTATACAGTTGGATGTGTGAAAAATTCTATATATATACTAGTATTTCCATATTTGTGCATTTAGGTCAGTGTTTGGGTGTGTGTGTATGTTTTGGCACATGCAGGCAGTGCGTAAACACAACCAACCTCCTCTTATGTCACCACACAGCAACATTATCTATAGTATATTTTTCATTGTATTCTATATTCTACTCAAGAGACGGTATTTTTATAGTCACCGTGACTATTTTGTCAACCATCTTGACTGTTATCAAACCTAGCTGATTCAGGATATATAAATATATATACATATATGTATATTCATATATATGAAATAGTTATTCAGGATGTACCATTTTAATATATGTGTGTGTGAGTGTGTACATACATATATACATATATATATATATATATATATATATATATGTGTATATGCACACACACACACTCGCACAGGTAAAAGTAGACTGTCAACACACATCACTTTGGGGTAAGTTAGGGCTGTAAAGTGTCGACCTGCATGCATGTGCAATCACATGCACACGTGCACACACCTGCACGGACATATGTGCATACACACATGTATGCGTGTACACTGTATGATTGTGCTTAAAAATAAACTGTCCTTACTTTGGAGAAGGAATTTTAGGATGAGCGAGGTGAGTGTTATCTCATAAGCAGGCATGTTGACCATGTGCAATATTTCTAAACAACAAAAAAAACTAAATATTGAAAATATTAAAAGATCTAACACAATCACTTGTGTATGTGTTTTTTTAGGCTTCTGGGTATATTGAGTTTTAGATAAGATATATATATATATATATATATATATATATATATATATATATATATATATGTATATATCTTCTTCTTCCTCATTGTTTGCACTATAACTCAAATCATCTCTCATTATAAAAGGTTTAAGAAACCAACCTCAGCCACAATTTTCCACCTTGAGCCAACACAGAGGGCTCCTAAATCGCTGGCTCATGCAGTGTGTGCTTCTCCAGGTGTCCTTTATCTGACATGCCAGTGTTAGGAGCGCTTATTGGATTAGAGCAGCCTTTCAGATTCAGGTCATATTTGGTATAAGGTAAGGAGACGCGGTCAAAGAGCCCACTGCAGAGGGAGCGCACACTGTTGGGAATTTGAACCCCAAGTAGGCTTAAAACTACCACCAAAATACCAGCTGGCATTTAAATGGCATGTTTAGTTCAAATTAAATGTCTTACTTTAAACTTTTAAAAGACAAAATGCCAATCTTCCAGCTATCTTTTCCTTTTTTTCTCATATTAGCTGTTTTAATGTAACTTTCCATGGTTTTGTAAGCTGAAAAATCTAGTTGTAACATTGTCAAACTGTAGAGCAAAATTTTTTAAAACTCTTGAATACATAAGATTTAATGGATGGGGAAAATCCATATAAAATTATGAATTAAGTCTTGAATATTCAAGGGGCCACCACAACGATTTTGTCAAATTGATTTATACTTTGCCTGCTTTTCGTTTTTTACTCCTATTTAATTTATAGGGAGTAGCTGAAGCAGTTGACCCGGCTGAGACTCCATTTCCCAGTTGGCATTGCGCGAGGTCTGTTTCTAGGTGTCTAGCAACAGCTTTCAGCCCAGACAGCCAGCGGCAACGGGAGTGGTGGATTTTCGGCGTGCCTTTCCACAGTTATTCGCAGCCGGATATTTATTTTTAATAGTTGATAGTCGCCCAGCTGCATACGGTAAAAAAAAAACCCTGACCCCTGTTATATGAGATATGAGCGGCAGCGGGCGGCCCAGGACCAGCTCGTTTGCTGAGTCGCCAGGTGTCCCAGGAGCCGTCGCAGCGTCCGCCGGATCAGCCGCTGCCGTGGGGAGCAGCACAGGAAAGTCCGGGGTCCCGCAGGCCTCCGGGAGCAGCTCGTCGGGATGCTCGAACCTCAAGCTAGCCAGTGAGTTATCTGTTGCGGCTGCCGTTTAAGGAAACACGTGCTGCTAATAAATAAATAAAATAAAACTATAATCGGCTTTTACCTTAAAATAATTCTGGGTGTTATGTTGTCCCAACCCGGGGAAAAGTTGTTATTTCTCCCGTTTAGCCGCTAATGGACTTGCTAATATGCTAACTAGCTTGCGTGCTAATGTTAGCCACTTGTTATGTATGAGCCCCTGTCCGGCAGATGGATGAAATCACCCCACCTCATGTCCCCCTAGCTTGCTGGTCATCATTGAAGCAGTAAATCGACATTACATTTGACCATTTTCCAAATATTTCCTTACAAAATAAGGATCGCAATCATTTTTGGTTAACGTGAATGACCAGATAAACTGGTTGGATGGTCTTTGTGGCGAAACAAGGCTCGAATACCTAACCTGGTTTCTTCGTGGAGGGCTCTTTTTTGTTCGTATTGTCACAGAGCAGCGTCAGCTTTCTGCCTGCCTTGCCTGGTTAGATTGAGGGCATAGCCATGGCTGTTCACCAAGGTCACCCGCGGGGCGAGAGCTCTTGTCTGGAGGATGCAAGTGATGCACATCCAGCTCAAGAGCTCGACTGCCCAGGAGTTAGTTGTCTCTGTCTGAGATGGAGGTATATTCCGCCCCTTTACCAATCTATAGACATGTGCAGAGATCTGTTCATCTTATTGTTATCTTCCGTTTGCAGGCAGTGTTGTGTTTCTAGATATTTGAGTCTAAATGGGAGGTCATCTGCAGGTCAAAGCTGTGTGGGGTCCCTTTTTGTCTGCCACTTTGATGTCTTTTGCTAGTTCAAATGATCTCTCTAAGACTGATGGGTGTTTTTTCAGGATAAGGGAACTTCTTTTTTGGTCGGATGAAACTATTTAGTCACATATGTGTGAGAAAGTGCAACGCTGAATTTGGCTCACCGCAAACGTTTAGTTCCTGATTGAAAGACTGCACAAATTAATTTTAATGAGGCTGTTGTTTCACTAATGCATTGTGTGGGCTCTGTGAGGGCTTATTCTAACATTTTATCTGAAATAAATTTATGACCCCAACCACGCTGATGCTGCCTTTTGAGAAAGGCCCTTTCTGCATTTTCACAGATGCACAGATGTACAAACTGTCTCCCACTACTTAGGCTGAATTGATTTTAAAGGCTTAAATGTTGTTGGGTTACATGGTCTGTCGGAAAATTAAAGATTCAGGTTTGAACTTGCATTTTTTACTCATTTTTGTTTTATGATAGATAATCCTGGTGAAAATTGGCTGATATAGTATGGGCTGTTTTATTTTAGGAAGCTATATGTGCAGGTGTGCTGTAGTTTAAAAAATGTCATTTTTTCATAGATTATGCCCTTCTGGAGTTTCTGCTGGTAAATAAAAAGTGCCAACACAAACTTTTGAGCCACATAGACCGTATCATCTAGGAATAATTCAGAGAACATTTACATTATGATTATTTATTTATTATTTTTTGTCAGGCTTGTAGAAAATGTTGGGGAAAAGAGCTCTGAGGAGTTAAGCCGGACTTTGACACATTAGGAAGGAGAATGTCAGAGTAAACAAATCCTCTAACCGAGTGTCCTACTTTTACCTGTCTGTGTGTTCATTGGTGTCAAAAGATGAACCCAGTCGGTGAGGAGAACCCAGTGACCCTGTCACTCTGCGGGCCTCACTGTAACAGAAACCTACCCGCTGACAGTTTCTGTGCAGCGCATGCAGCTCTTTTTATGACTTATATCAATAAGTGCCGGTGTTGTTTGGTAAATAAAGCATCAAATACGTGGACGTGATCAGCAAGGTAGCAAACCAAGACGGTTCTGCAGGATGCCAGAGGGTTGCTGTGTTATTCAAACACCACACATAAGCAGTAACGCTCTCGTCATCTTGTTCTTGGCTCATTTTTATTTGAAAGTGACTAAACAAACACATGGAGACGTTCACTGAATGAAGACTCCCCACCTGAGACTGTCTGGGTCACCAACAGATGTATTTCCCTGTTAATGTGCACTTAATCGGTCCGCAATCTTCCCTGAAGGAGGGTTATTCAATATAATTTTGTAAATTTTTAATCAGGATGACAATTTTTAGAGGTGACATCAGCCTGTGTTAACTGTTTATAAGCCTCTAAGTGTATAATCTTTACATTGTTTCATGCACATTTGATAATGTATATGTTATGTAAAAAGTGTGGTGTTGGTGTGTTGTGGAAATCTGCTTTTGTAGATGGTAAATGAAAAGGAAGGGGATGTTGTGGCAAAATAAGCCTCTCATGAGGCTTATTATCGCTTAAAAGATGCTACCAGGACAAAGACAGAGGTTGGCCTATTTTGAGCTGTCCTCCAGTTTAATTAGTCACAGAGCCTTTAAAATGAACTCTGTCACTCCTTTTTTTTTTCCCTCTGAGGATTTTGTAAAGTTGACATTTATTCACTGGCTGCCTTTAACCTTAATAATTAAATAGTCCCAAATCCGAGAGTTAGGCAACACTTTTATTTCTCTTTTGAATCCGAGTCTTTTCTTTAACCTCACAAGTTTTTGCAGCTTTCTGAATGTTAGGACTTTTTTTTTTACATCTCTGTTTAATCTGTTTCTCTTCTTTGTAGGAGATAGTGGAAAAGTGACAACTGTCGTGGCCACACCAGGTCAGGGACCAGACCGCCCACAGGAAGTCTCCTACACCGACATAAAGGTGAGCAGGAACTGTGGAGTCTAAATCTGTCCAAATATATCACAACTCATTTCACATAACAAATGCCTGAAATTAGTTAATTTTTAACAGCTTTTATGGCATTAAAGTCTCACTTTCCATTGCTCCTCTTATTTCTGGAAGTGTGACATTATTGTGTTTTATTCAGGGCTCTAACAATTAAGAAGTCTTAAACCTTTTTAGTGTGTGTTAACCAACTATTATCACAGTTTAAAAGTAAGTTATTGGAAATAACGGATCTCTCCCAATAACAAGTCTGTATTTTTAATGTTTGGTAAAAAAAATTGCAGCCATTGAAACTCTCTCTGATATTTTTTAAAGCATTTTGATACGCATGTACATTTTGCACAGACTGATGTGGAATTCTTTCTAAAAAAAATGTTTTTCTAATGTTTAAATTGAAAGAGAAAGTCTTCAAACTCCACAGACGCACAGCGGATTGATTTTAAAGGGATATCCAACAACTTTGGTCTGTTTCTGCTTTTTTCTGATCCCTTTGGGATCAGCAAGCTGCTGTTTTCCTTTTGATCAAAGCCGTTTGGTAGTTATGTAAAAATGTGTGACCCACAAATGAATCCTGTCTGTTGTGCTTTGGACACCGTGGGCGCCGTTGTAAAGTCTATCATGTGGGCACAGAGCTATTTCTGTGCTGCAGTGGCTCAATTTTCTAGATGGTCATTTATGTTTAGTCATTACTTTGGATTCTTAAATGCATCCATTAGTGTGGAAAATAACATCTGTGAAGAATTACTCAGAAGTCTTTCCAGCAGCACTGCATCCGAACCAGTTCAGAAATTTTCAGAAGTTTTGTTTTTTATACAGAAAATTCAAAGAGCTACTGTGTCCATTTGTCTAAAATCAAAGTTTTTTTTAATCTGGAGGGACTTGTATTTAACTCTGGCTGTTCTTAAGTTTCATGACATCACCATTGTGGCATTTTTCAATCAATAATGATTAATTATTTATCATAAGAAAGACCCAGCTGTTCCTGAGCAACTGTCACACAGACCTGGTGAACCCCCTCCACTCCTTTTTGTCTCAGGAACATCATCCAGACTGTTCTCATCCACGTCCCCCTGTTAGGATGGGTCCCCCTCTCTACCTTTAAGAGTCTCCTGAAAACTTCCTCCTCTCGTAACAAACTCTCATTTCATCTCATCTCTCACCCACTGAGAACAGAGGGACCTGAGCTCTGCCATCTTAAAGAACTGCTCCGTCCCTCCAACAAACTACTGATATTACGACTGCTTATTGTAAATTCCACTTTAAAATGTGCCCTTTGGAAAATTGAATTGAAAAATGGAATATGGTCATCTTTATGATCCCAGTCTTTAAAACCTATGGTTTACTTGGTCTGGTGATGCCTTCTTTGAATTGGATCACACCTATTAAAGCTAACGGCCTCGGCTTGTGATGGCGCTCTCGCTGGCGTCCACAGTGCGTCGGTGTTAACGAGCACCTGCAGGCAGGCGGCCATTGCCATGCCCCGCAAAACGTGCTGTGAGTGACAAGCGCCTTTACAGCTGAGCTAACATTAGATCACAGCTGGTAATGTTTCATTCATGGAGGGTAATGTGGTTCGTCTAAGCACACTCAGAGATAAGTAGAGCTCACAGAGTTGCATAACAGCTTCCCTGCAGCTGGCATCAGAGCCCAACTCGTTCATCAATATGCTCCGTTCTGTTTCCCCGCTAAGTCCCACCAGATCTAACGTTGATTTTCAGATTTAGTTGACTCATTCCACGCTCCTCTGTCAGTGGGAAGGAAATCAACAGAGGTTTGGGATGTTTGTAGTGACTCTGTGAACATCTCGATCGGTTCTCAGTCCTCTGGGAGTTTGCTCTGTCAGTGAGAGCGATCCTTATTATTGGCTTTTTCTAAACAACCCTAAACACATTAAAATACCCCCAACTGAACCAGATGTATGCTTATTAATAATGTATAGACTCCAGCTCAGCTCTGCAGCTCAAAGTTATGTCCTCTTATTGGTTGGATGTGGTCGTTGGCAGTTGGAGGTCATTTTATTTCTCGGACGTTGGCGACATGTGGAGACACACCAGGGAGTCCAACTGGCTCTTGACGTCAGCTTGGTGTATATGGCTCTAATACAGACTTGTAGATAAGTCATTTATCAGCGTAATCTTTTTTTTTTTTTAAGTTGAGTGGCAGAAAGTGCTGGTGATGACTCTATATAAAGAGTCGGTTTAGTTAGACTGAGTTACCCCTCATTAATTTCTTCTCATGGCTCATATTCCACCCTGACCTTCATTTAAAAATCACCATTAATGGCGAACACATTCAGGCTTTGCTATATGATTTTGGTCTGAACTGTTCCTTTATTTTTTGCTGTAGCCAGATATCAAAACTGTTTCCAGCAAATTAAGCCAACAGATTGCTCTAAAAGTTCCCCTCTGTTCCAATATCTGTCCTGAAGTTGATCACTGAGACTGTGGGAGGAAAACCTCCCTTCAAACAGGAAGAAACCAGAACCAGGAAGGGCTTTCGATGCAGCGTTTGACGGCTGTTTTGTAAAAACCTTCCAGGTCATTGGGAATGGCTCGTTTGGGGTGGTGTACCAGGCTCGGCTCATCGACAGCCAAGAGATGGTGGCGATTAAGAAAGTCCTGCAGGACAAGCGGTTCAAGGTAAGGCTGCGATTTTAACTGACTACTTGTTTCTTAAATGCACCTTTACGCTTTAACATCGGAGTCTCTCCCTCTCGTTGCAGAATCGGGAGCTACAGATCATGAGAAAACTTGACCACTGCAACATTGTGCGTCTACGTTATTTCTTTTACTCCAGCGGCGAGAAGGTACCAGCTTATTCTGAACCAAAAGCGTCCAATGAGATCCTGCTGAACTGATGCTGTACTGAGATGATTGTATTTGTTTAAGATCCAGCATATACTGGGCCGCAGCGTAGCCTAACGGTTACAGCGGGCGGACCATGTGTGGAGTCTCTCCTCATAAGCGGGCGGCCTGGGTTCGACTCCGACCCATGGCCCTTTCCCGCAGGTCTCCCCCCCTCTATCTCTGCGCCCTTTCCTGTCAAGCTAATGTCATTAAAAGCCACTAGAGCCAACGAAATCTTTAAAAAAAAAGATCCAGCATATACGAATACACACAGAGAACATAAAAAATGAAAAATACCCAAACCACCAACACTCACTGTAAGCAGTTATAGTTTTTTGTTGTTGTCCTACAGCAAGTTTGAATCTCAAATTTCTTCTTTCCTTGCAGAAAGACGAGGTTTACCTCAACCTGGTGCTGGACTTTGTCCCTGAGACGGTCTACAGGGTTGCCAGGCATTTTAACAAAGCTAAGAGCATCATTCCTATCATATATGTGAAGGTAATTCCCTCTTTGTATCGCACGTGTTGCGCAGCACTTTCCCCCAGGATGAATAAAGCTTTTTCAAACCCAGACTCCAGAGGCCAGTGTTAACAGGTGTCCCTTTGTTGACCTCCTCAGGTGTACATGTACCAGCTGTTTCGCAGTCTGGCTTATATCCACTCCCAGGGTGTGTGTCATAGAGACATCAAGCCTCAGAACCTTCTCGTTGACCCAGAGACGGCCGTTCTGAAGCTGTGCGACTTTGGCAGGTGAGCTGCGTGGACATGGTCCGCCTCCTGCCCAGAACCCGGGCTCCCAGAGCCCTGAGAACGACCGCTCTCTCTCTCCATCTGCAGCGCCAAGCAGCTGGTCCGGGGGGAGCCCAACGTGTCTTACATCTGCTCTCGGTACTACCGGGCCCCCGAGCTCATTTTCGGTGCCACAGACTACACGGCAAACATCGACATCTGGTCGGCTGGATGCGTTCTGGCGGAGCTGCTGCTCGGCCAGCCCATTTTCCCCGGTGACAGCGGGGTGGACCAGCTAGTCGAGATTATCAAGGTGGGTGTTCAGCAGGTGCCTCTTTGGGGCTTCTTCTTTGGTGAGCTCGCTATTTGCCGTTTCTTAACTTTGTGTTTGGCTGTTTCCAACACAAATATTCCATTTATCCAGGATTTATTTTGTTTGTTGGCATTAAGATAATGCCTCAAACTCCCACATCTGTTTTCAGGTGTTGGGCACACCGACAAGGGAGCAGATTCGAGAGATGAATCCAAACTACACAGAGTTCAAGTTCCCACAGATCAAAGCTCATCCTTGGACCAAGGTAAGGGATCTATGCAGCTAGCTAGCTAGGTAATCCTGTTTTTTCCCTTTAAATGCACATATAAGTTAGGCTGCTGTTGCTCCTCAGGTGTTTAAACCTCGCACCCCCCCTGAGGCCATTGCTCTGTGCTCTCGGCTGCTGGAGTACACGCCGGCCTCGCGCCTCTCTCCTTTAGAGGCCTGTTCACATGCCTTCTTTGACGAGCTTCGCCAGCCCAACACAAGGCTGCCCAGCGGGAGAGAGCTCCCTTTACTCTTTAACTTCAGCACCACAGGTAAATCCAACAGATTCCTTTTGTAGTTTGAAGCTCCTAACCACCAAGATTTGCATGTTTTTTTTCTTAATTGTGTTAATTATGAACAGAATTATTATCTAAAGTCATGCTTATGTAGATTCTCAGTTATTTAGGACTTCATCTTGGTTCTTTGACATGTTTCAATTTCTTCTGAAAGGCTCCTTCAGTGATTCCTCCATAATTCAATATTTCCATATGCAACACCTCATTAGATCCGATCATCGGCTCACTTATCACTTTTATGCAGGCTGTCATTTCCACCTTACAACCTTGAAGTCTCTGTGAGGATCTCAGACTGTCTAGTGGCCCTTTTCCACTGGTACCAACTCAAGTCTGGGTTTTTAGAGTTTTCCATCTATTGGAAGATACATATCCTGATTGGTCGAGGTTCCAAGAGAGCAAAAAATGTAGCCGCGGATTGGCCAAGACATGACGTCACTGGATCAGTCATGAGAGACCTCTCCATTTTTATCCATTCTTTTAAAAATATTTTCTAAAAACCCAGCACCAGTAACCTTGTGATATTTGTTATTTCAGTTCTCATTCACATGTTTAATGTGCAATGATTTATCATCTCCATTGGGTTTGTGTTGCATACAGATGAAAATAAAGGAATTTTGGGATGTCTTTCTGCTATTGTCCACCGGCATTGAGCTGATGTTCACCTACAATCGGAAACAACCAAAGCCGGGTAGAGATAAGAGTCAAGTCGAGTAGGTACTAGTGTGAAATGGCCTTCAGAGAAACCAAGAAGAACAGGATTTAATTTGATAGAAAAACCCCTCCACCCAACCACAGACAGAGGCATCACCCAGTTAAAAGAGGAGTGTGTGGAGCTTTATAGATCCATAGAGAACAACTCAATTATTCAGGTCAAAAGTCACCTCCATCCAAAGGAAGGGGGCTGGGCACATTTTGAGGACAGTAAAGTCCACATTATGGGCAGAGAAGAGAGATGGTTTTAAAGAGAAGTCAAGGAAGGAGGAGAGGATCCTGGTTGTTTTTCCCGGACTGGTGAGAGCCACTTGATCCTGCCCACCATGTGGTTTAGGACTGGGGAAGCCTTTAGGATGAGAGGAGAAATGTCTACCAGATCTAAAAAGATGGATAATTCTTTTAAACCTCACAGCTGTTCAGCTGTGATCAGGGGACGTCTCTGAGTCCAGAGTGCGACCTCTGAGGTGCTGCCACCTTTTCTTAAGAACCAAACAGAGAAGTAAATCATTGTTTTTTGTTCTCTGCAGAGCTGTCAATCCAGCCTCAGCTGAACTCAATCCTCATCCCTCCCCACGCTCGTTCACACACAGCTGCTTCCGTCCACGGTGGGTGGGAACCTCATCTATGGTTAATCACTGTTTTCTCACCTCAGCCCGCTCATGGGTTTGATTTGGGTCTGTTGTGGTGTTTGTAACAATGAAAAACATCAAATTTAGTAATGCTGTGATGATTTAGAGGTTGTTTTGTGTGTTCTTTAGGATTCAAACTTTATAAATGGTTTCTAGCTGGCTTTTGGTACTGATAGAGGCCTCAGTAGGATCAGGGAGGGGGCTCATGTTTGTGGCCCAGTTTTGTTGTTCATACCTGTTCCCAAAATGGTGTAATGCCTTTTTCATTCCACAAGATGGCAGCACTCACATGGTCTTCATGCAGGACTGAAGCTGCCATAATTTGAAAAGGATGTTTGAATATATTTACATGCTAAAAATGCTCTAAATATATATATTCATGCTAATCATGCTAAAACAGTTTGATATTAAGTTAGATTAATCTTTTTTTCTGCTTTGCATTTAGTGTGTGTCTATGTGTGTTAATGTCTGTTTTCATCTCCAACCTTTTTAATATTTATTTACATATATTTAATCACTATTGTGGACAAAAATGTAAGAGTTAGTAATCAGCATAAATGATTTTCTAGGTGATTCTTTGGAGTGTTTGATGCTTAATTCCCCATTTATATGTTTTAGTATTTATTTTAGATTATGTCCTGGTCAGCGCTCTGTAGTTTTGGACTTTCTTCATCAGAAATAAGAGATTTTAAAGGGTTTATGACCCCTTTCCTTCTGCTCCTCTCCTCAGATGGTACCGGTTCAGATTCCTCTCTGCACAGTTCAGTACCAGGATCTCTAAACAGCATCTGAAGCAGCTTCTTTCCTTCCTGCCTGCAAGCGTCACCCTTTCCTCACACACTCTCACACACACACACACACTGTTCATGGTCTGTTTCTGTACAGTAGCTCGTTGGGCAAGCGGCTCGTCCTTTAGCTTCAGCAGGAGATCCATTCGGCGCCGGGTGGGCTCAGATGGTCCGATAGTGGGGGCTGGTCCTCTCAATCCGATTTTTTAAAAATCACTATTTTGTGTTTATTTATTTGACTATTTGAATCATGTGCTCACAACGTTTTTCATCTCTGGACTATTTTTTTTTTCCTGCTGTGTTTTTAAATTATTTGCCGTTTTTAAATCTCGATCCGTAAGAGGTGGAGTCCAGGCTGAACCAGATTCTTGGTGTGGTGGCCCGCGGATTAAACCTGGTGGTTCCTGTCTTTGCTTAGGTTCTTGGATGGGAATAACAGTCCAGTAGAGCTATCGGGTAGAAGAAGAACTGCATCTTTAACTTTCAAGAACTTCTCCCTGTTCCAAACCTGTTTCGAGCCCCTTTCTCAGCTTTATTTGTTTAGTTTTTTTTTGTTTTGTTTTTTGCTGTAATTCACTCACACCAATGAGACAAAAGCACCAAACATCCAGAGGAGCCCTGGTTTCCTGCCTCTGAATAGAAAAAGGATCTGTTTTGTGTCTTAACAAAGTGGTTGGAGCTTGCAGATGATGGGACCAGAGTTTGCTCTCATGCTGCGTATTTGCATTTTTATGGAAGAAAAACTCAATGTTTTTCATCTTTACAACAGAAAAAAAGTTAATTCGCTCTGCTTAAGTTAAGAATTAGATCATGAGGTAGTAATTCTGTGCTTTATCTGCCCAAAAGATGAACCGAAAAATGTTTTTCTGCTGCTGATTTGACCTTTTATCAAAGGTCTGTTGGTAGAATCCAGCTGATTCTGACTGATGAGAAGTTTGTAAAGTTTGTTTGAAAAAAATGGCAGAAATAATTACCTGACACCTTTAAAGCTCCTTTCCCACCATTGGATGAATGCTGTTTTTCTTTGTTTTTACCCCAGGTTTATTTGAACATTTTTAACTTTGTTACAATGTTTAGATTAAATATCTACAAAATAGGATTAAATGTCTCAACAATATTAATTTCATACCTCTACTATTGGGATTTTTTGGCAGTGTCAAAAGGTTTATCTGAAGAATCGGTTCGGATTTTGTCCTAAAAGTGTGAAAGAGTTGGACCTTTTTCTCTAAAAATGTATGTAATCTAGTATAAAAATTGAGACCTAAAATCTCTACTTTCAGTCAACGCGTCTCACAATTGAGGCTCAGAACCTGCTAATTCTGATTTTATATCCCATAAAGTTTAAACTTTTAGACAAATTTAGAACTTAATATCTCCAAATTCAGACCAAATTGCTCCAAATCTAGGGTGAATGTCCCATAATTCTAATGTTTTATTTGGAATTTTTAACCTTTGTATGACATCTAAGCCACATTTAAGACTAAATATCTAACATTCAGATTAATTCAATGGAAATTGGAGAACAAACACTCTGAAGTTGGTGTTTAATGTAGCAGATTAACTAAAGATCATTCAGAAAACAGGCATTTATCTCATAATTAAAAAAGCTTTTGAATTACTCATAATGCACCTTTAGGCAAGCAGATTTAAACAGAGGAACGCTAATCTCAGTTTATTATCAGCCAATGGGAAAATAAGACAAATTATGCTTTTAATGAAGGCATCTGTGGGTTTTTATCTCCACCAAAGAGGTTTCAGTTCTGGTTCTGAGAAAAGCAGTTTTTCTGTGTTCCCGCCAAAAAAATCAACCCCTAAACAACAGGATGGAGCCTTGTATCATCAGTTGCTGTTTAGAAATAAACCCAAACAGCTGATGTTTGAACATCGGTTTGCACGACCAACCAAACGGGGCCCTGAGTCTGCTCTAGGGCTGCTTTGGTGGATAGTGGGTGGCCGTTTGTGTACTGCTTTCCTCCTGTCCATTTGGATGGATTTCTGAGGATTTAAGGCCGTTTGTTCCTCTTTGAAGGGTTCAGATCATTAAGCAGGACTTTGAGGATGAAATGAATGAGGCCATTTTCTGAACAGCCACTGTGATGTTTTAGGGATTAGAGCCAGCAGAGACCACTCCAGAGTTTGTAGTTTAGCATGTTTGATACTCCATCAGCTGCTTTTAGCTGCAGCCATGTTGGAACATTGTTTTTAGAATAAGTCCCACAGTTTAGTCGGCATGGGGGGGGTTCCACCCTCTTCCGCACCAAGCTTCTCCTGCCAGCTGCCTCCTGGTTGCTAACTGTTAGCCCTACAGTGTGAGGGCTCACTGCCGCCCACTTCCTGCTCTTTGCTCTACAGACTCCAGCCGGCCTGCTCGGTTGTCTCCGCGGGGGGGGGGTGTTCACACTCTGAGCTGTCAGACTTTCCAAGGCCATGAAACGGTGTGATTAGAGCCCAAAGAGAGGAACTGACCAGGGCTGATTTACTCCCTTTACTGCACATGTAAATATCACTGATTTTTATTTTCCTCCTTTCTACTTTTTATTACAGAGTTGTTTATATCTCCCTTCCCTCATTCGGTCAGTGACGCAGTCTGAGTTTGTGCGTTTTTGTAAATATTTTTTTCTTCTCACAATCCAAAATGTAAATAGTGCAAAAGAGAAACGAAAAGTTAAAAAACAAAACAAAAACAGCCACTCCTCATGTTTGTTGATGAGCTTTCTCTCTCTTTCTCTTCCTGGTAGTCCAGTGAAAACTGTGAAGTAGCTCCGTGTGACTAAAGGAAAGACAGTTTTAGTGGCTCTGGTCCACAAACGCCGTCTTCCAGCAGATTTGAAACTCTTCCTGACTGGATCTGGTCTGTAAATGCCAATGCTTTTCCAGCCCTGTCGTCTCTGTTTTGTTTTATTTGTTGCCACATCCAAAGGAGCTGAACCAGAACAGAAGCCAAAATAATTTCTCTATTTTTTATATTTCGTAGTTGTGTTTAAACGGTTGAAGCACCAGGGAACATTTTTATTTTTAATTAAATTATTTGGTTTTCCTGTCTGCAGAATAGGAAGAAAGTTGGCAATCTGTCTGACCAGATAAATGACAAGCTCTCAAAAAAAAATGTTGTGAAAATTTTTTACTTGGTTTTGAAATGCAGGCTCAGTAGCTCAAAAATTAGACTTAAAATACAATTTTTTTAGATGGATGTATGGAAAATTAAGCTTCAATATAAAAAAAAGCCTGGTGATCCCTGAATATTTTTTAATTCAGACTAAATATTCAAGAATTTTAATGTTTAATTTAAGCATTTTACTGTAATGTTAAATTTGAGTCGATTAAAAATCACAAAATTCTGATTTAATGTCTGTGTTCAGACTTTCTATCAAAATATTGTTTTTTTTAATCCATGTTCTTACTCAATTCCACAAAATACTAAACTGATCAGACATTTTGATTGAGACAAATTTTATCGTCGGGGTTCAGAAATGATCTTCCGCAGACTGCATAATACCGTCATTATAAAACGACTGTTGGGTTTCCAGTGGACAGTTTTCAAGCAGCAGGCCAGAATCCAGCTGTTAAAGTCCACGTCTGAGAGCCTGATGATGCTGTTTGGTGTCTGACAGCAATATTAAGGCAAAAGACCAGAAATGAGACGAGCTGCTAGTTCTCACTTTGGGCTTTTTGTATTATGTGCTGTGAGATACAAAAAATGTACATTCATGTAAAGAGAGCTGCCGCAGAAGCTTTAGTTTTTTTTGTCATTTTACTTCTGTTATTTAACTAAAAAGGTATTTTGTTTGTTTTTTCTGTCCCGGAGAATCTGTTGGATTATAAAGTGGAAGGAAAGAGAAAGAAACAAACCAGTCTGTCTCTGTTCTGTGTGTGTATGATATGGACTCATTTACTGTAATAAAGTGACGAAACTGTGTTCCAAGTGTGTCTGAATCCCTTTCCAAGATCAGATATCTGGGCTATTTGGGGCTACTTGAAGACATCTCTTCTTATTTTACTCTTAAAAAGATTTTCATGTTTATTTAATCCTTGTTTGACACTAATTTTTTCAGCTTTAGAATGACCTGATCAGTTATCCAAAAGCTCCAAAAATACTTTGACTGACTTCTACTTTATGAAAGAGTTAATTTATTAATGGAAACTATATTCGAATAAGGATAAAATAAAAGAGAATAAAATAACTTGCTTAGTAGTCACACGAGTCCAATAAGTAACTCAACATTTTAAGCAGAAAGAAATATGAAAATTTTATTTGTGGCAATGTGTAAATTGTATTAATGCATTGTCGTGGTGCCTGGCTGCTGTTCCCCTCCACGGCCGCTGGTGGCGCTACTCGTATCTCCGTCGGATTTTCAACGCTTTAAAAACATTCGTTTATATCCAGCATTTGAAAAAAGGAAGAAGAAAACCACAAAGGAGCAAGACAGAAGCCGATCCCGAAGGTAAACCTCCCTGAAACGGGATTTCTCACTCCTTGAAACTAGACTTTTGTCGCCCTCAGTCTGTCAAAGATTTATTTATTTAACAAACTGTTTTATTTTTCATACAACGACGTTGTGTTCTGAGAAACTAACTTTAGAATCACATTTAGCTTTAGCAGCTTTAGCAAGGTGGCGCCGGGTGTCGAAGGCCTTTTCACTCGATGCCCCACTTCAAGTCAAAATGACTATTTTTATTAATCCTTTACCGCAACTGAAACCCAAGTAAAGGGCTTTGAAGTGCTATATTTAACCAGTTATGGCTTTTTATGTATTTAAAATGAGGATGACACCGCTGCACTGGTTTGACCGTTAGTGGCTAACTCTAGCTAGCTGATCTCTGATTGTGTTATGTAAAACGTGTGATGAGCGGCTGAGTTTATAGTTTTTTGTAAATGTGTTATGACAACTAAAAACACTCATCAGAAAGCCGTAAGGTGCAAATCAAACCTAACATGTTTTTGTATTGGGTAGTCTCAGCAACCATATACTGTTTGCTAACAGCTTAGCTTAACAGTTGCCGGCTTCTGTGTCAGTGAATTTTAAACAAGGTCCACAAGGAACACACCAATATCAGCAAACGCCATCTCTAGACACTTGTATGGCAAAAATACAACATCCATCTGTTTCACTTTACTCATCAGACGTCAGGTCGCGAAAGCAAAAGGTCTTGCCTAGCCTCCTCCTGGGGGGATCCCAATGCGTTCCCAGACCAGACGGGATATTTGCAATCCCTCCCCTTCTGGGTCTACTTCCCCCTGTAGGATGTGCCCTAAAAACCTCCATAGGGAGGAGACCGGAGGCATCAAACCAGGTGAACCCCCCTCAGCTGATTGCTTGTGATGCAGAGGAGCGGAACATGACCCAAAACTTGGTTTGGAGCGTTTTCCAGAGGTGTTTGATATGTTTATGATGCAGGTTATAGTTCCCAATGTCAGAAATAATTCAAAAGAGAGCATTCATGTATTTTCTGTGCCCTGCGTATACTTAAACGATATGTAGTAATCTCCGGTGTTGTTTCCCTATCCATAGCCAAGTTAAGCGTATTGAACGTTGTGGAGTAATGAAGGTTAAACTGTGTAAATATTCTGCCACAATGTAACTTAAGAAAGATTTTTTTTCAGTTCTAACTAGATGCAGGCACCCTTCTCCCGGGATTTTTTTAATTGTGTTTTTGTTTAAATCAGAAGAAGAAAGAAATTAACTGTTAAAACATAACACTTTAGCTAATTGCCAGGCATTGGGATTAGTTTATGTTTGATTATGTCAAATGAAAAGCTGCAAATGATCACAAAAATTTCCGGTCAGTCTGTCTTGTGATGGCAGGTTTAGTTAATTGTTGAATTACAGATTTAGATAAAATATTTGGGTTCAGTAGATTTAGACCAAAAGCAGCTGATGAGTCACAGCATGAAGCTGCTTCACACTGTCTGAAGGTCTTCCCCCTGCTTCCCCTGGCAGGTCGAAGGTGAGGGCCATGGCTCGCGGGCAGCAGAAGATTCAGTCCCAGCAGAAGAACGCCAAGAAGGCAGCGGAGAAGAAGAAGGCTCATGGCGCTGACCAGAAAACCGCCGCCAAGGCTGCGCTGGTCCACACCTGCCCTGTCTGCCGGGTCAGTGCCACACCGAGGCCGGGCGGCCGGTCAGGTTTTATCAGGTTGACGTGGTTCCTGTTGACAGCAAAGCTTTTGACACAAAGAGCTGACGAGAGGAGTTAAACTGGCCTTAGTTTTTCTCAGTGATGTTTGTTAGATTTAAGGAGAGTCTGGAATACAGGCATAGACCCCGTCCAGGTGGACTGAATCCAGATGATTCCCATTTATTTGACAACCAACTGAAAAATGTCAAATGGGGCTATTGTCTCTTTGAGTTATTATTGAGTCTGTTTCTGTGCCGTCATCTGTTTTGACATGAGGTTACATGTGTAAATACCCTCTCTGTTAACAGACCAGCTTATTAGTATAGAGATATGCAGCCCTTCATAATCAAACCTTCTGGGGTCAGACCCCCCACCACACACACCTTGAAAAGCTTTAAGGTGACGTGGATGGTTCCACGTTGTGCTGCTGTTTTATCTGTGATGATTCATCAGCACATTGGTTATAACGCAGGCATAAGTGTAAAATATGTGCTCACCGCTTGGCGTTTTGTGTAGTGAAGCATTCTCATTCAGCCCGGTGAGCCAGCATCCAACGATCGTCTCATTTTACTCCTCTGACTCTTCCAGACACAGATGCCCGACCCCAAAACCTTCAAGCAGCATTTTGAGAGCAAACACCCCAAGTCCCCCATGCCCCCCGAGCTGGCAGACGTCCAGGCGTAAGGCTTTGCAGACTGGACCAGAACCTGGGTGAGTCCTCTCTGGTCATGCTGTTGCTCCTGGGCCGGTGCTACCAAGCGGATGCTTGATCTTTGAGTCACCACTGACAAACAAACACAATGAAGCTGTAACAGTAAACAAATATTTTATATATTTGTTTGTGTTTGAATAAGCAGAGCCAATGGGCTTAGATAGCTCCACGTGTGTGTTTACAGCACACAGAAAAAAAACTTTTTCCCAAATGTGATCACTCCCTGTTCAGGGAGGCTCCTAAACACATCCTCCTCTCAGGGCCGAGCTCCTCTGTGGTGCGTTCAGGGGCCGGTACAAAGCGGCTTTCGGGGCTCTGCTTGGTAGCTCTGGGCCTTTCAGCTCCTCCTGTGGAGGCAGAGTGGCCGTGGCTCTAAACCACCTGTTGCTTTCAGATTGAAATGACCACGGCCTAAACGCTGCCCCACGGCACCCGGAGGAGGGCGGCGAGCACGGGGACCCGTCAGTATTCACAGCCGGGGGGGAGGGGGGATGGGGGGGCAGCATGTGCTGTGTGCGTTTGTGGTGGGGAGGAGCGTGAAGACGTACACCAGCAGCCCTTCTCTTTTTATTTTTGTATTTATTGTGTTACTGGTCCAGATGTGGGGGGGTGGGGGGGCGTCAGCACTGACCTGTGGAACCCTCTGGGCTGATTTTGGTTTGGAAAGCACAGCTTTGCGTCCTCTGTGCTGCTACTTCACCTGCACGCGGCTTCACGTGCACGCTCCTAACACCTCACAACTGTACCTCCCCCGCCCCCACCCCCCCCCAACCCCTCCTTTTCTGTCCGCTCTTTAAACCAGGATGATTTTTTTTCTCCTATTTTTTCTTTTTAAACAAACACACACAGCCATGGAGTTCATAGAAACAACCCCCCCTTCCTTCCCCTGAAGAAGTGAGAAGTAAATCAGTTCACATAGAAAAATGATTTATTCTGTATGAGAAATTAACCAAATGTACTTTCTCTGTAATTTCTTTTGTACCCTTTTCAATAAATGTAACAATGTATTTAATGTGACTGGTGTTCTTTGCTGGCTTTGTGAAAAAAAACAGGCCTTTCTGTGGTAAATGCCGAATAACTTGATCTTTGCATTTGACAAAAGGCATAGTGAGATCCTGTCAGACATCCTCTGTAATGTGAGCTGCTCAGTGGTCCTGCGGCCATCCTGCCTCCGTTACTTTGCTCCTGTTGAGCTTCTATTAGCAGCTGCTGGCCGCTGAAACCTTAACCGTGAGTAGGATCCTTTACTTCTCCTTCACAACCTTCATCTCTCTCTCACTTCTCTGGTTCGGTGTTGATTTTTTGGGCCATCTGCCCAATTGGTTTCCCATCCTTTTGGTGAATTATGTTTAAAGTATAAAACATGAGCGTAACACACAGAAATGAGCCTTGAATGATAAATTGGTAGAAAGCCTTTATTAGTTTTAGCCGATTCTCAGCTTGAATTATTTACAGAGATGTTTGTTTGAAGTTTGTTGATTTAATCAAAGTATTTACATAATCTAAAGAAGGCACATACGTTTGGATCAGCCTCCCCACTCTGCTTTTTTTGTGTGTGTGTGTGCAGAGCTGAGGGTTTTATGTAGAAAGGAGGAAAACCAGCCTGAGATTTGGTGGGAAGATTTAACAGAAGGGTGTTTGTGGCGTTTGCCTGTCTGAAATAATGATGACTGAATCAAAGGGGGGTTTGTATGTTGATGGGCGGAGTTCCACGAGTATAAGCTTCTCTTTGGCTCTGTAATGGCTTATTGGAAGAGGTTAAGGCTTTTGAAGCTGGTGTTGGAACAGAGCTGCTCAGAAAGCTACACTCTGGGTGGAAATTAGCTGGATGAAGCTTGTAGCAGGCACTTTGATTTGGACCCTAAATCGGAGCTTTAACGGGACAAACCGGCCTCAGGTGTGGGCCGATTGTGGGCCCTGTTGGTGAAAAGCCCCTCAGTTTCTTTATGTTGGGACCGGCTGTGGTCTCATAGACAGCCGCAGGTCTTCACCACCATGTTGCGGTGCTTTTTCAGGATGACGTTATTGTTGTCGTCGTAGAACAGGACGGAGATGGGGCTCAGCTTGGTGGGGGCGCAGCAGGCCTTGGGGACCTCGTCCGGTTTCAGGAGGTGGACCTGCCAGAGCACAGCAAGGAGTCAGGCTCAGAACTCACTCTGTCCAGGCGAGTTCTGATCAGCACAAAAAGACTCTGTAGTCCAACTTTACAGGGATCCGTTATTGGTTAGTTGGCAGTTAATTGACTTTAGGTGTATGTGATTGATAGAGTAAAGATATGAGGTCATGCAGGTGAGTTTTATTGACGGTAAATGCTGAGAAATGCCCGTCCACAGAATCAGCATTCTGTGGACGGGATGGAGATCCCCATGTGGGTGAACACAGTCCTCGGTATTTTCCTCACATGGACGTGGAGCAGGGAGCCCAACAGAAGATGTATGTATATACATACACACACACATATATACTTACATATGTACTTGTATAGTTATATACCTGCTTAAGTATAATAGTATACAAGTATGTATCTATATAAGTACATTTGTAAGTATGTATTTATAGAAATAACTATATATATAT